GTTAGCACACTATTTTTGATCGAACTAAACATTTTTATATTTAAATGGTTGAAATAAAGTATGTGGAACTAATTTCACTGTAAACCACTTACAAAAAACACTGAAGAGGAAAACATTAGTGTTCGGATTGCAGGAAGAGACTGGCAATCGGTAGGACCGCCAGTTTCTCTTCTGCAGTTGGGCAGTCCTGAAAACATCCCCTCAAATTTTCACAAATATGTCACTTTAAATTTTTGATTTTTCCACTGATGAAACAAGAGAGCCAGAGCGGGCTTATTTCCAAACACACTCCTTTTCATTTGGATTTAGATTTGCTTCCTGACACTTTGAATTTGGCATTCTGTCAAAGTGGACCGGCTTATGCAAAGAGTGCTAATGGTGGCATTTTTTATATGAGCTGCAGCAGAGAACCCATCCTGGAAGGATTCTTTCTTTCATACTTTGTCTCCTTACTTCCTGTTCCTGCTCCTCAAGACTACCACCGTGTGTTGTCATGATGAGCTGTTTTACAAATGGAAATACTTCTGTTTAATTGTCAGCAGTTTTATGCTTCTCTGCAGAATTCCTTCACATTTTTTCCTCTATTAGTCTTCGACATCCTCTGCTGCATTTTTCATTCAAAGCCTGTCATATAAATGTCATTGCTCCCTCTTTTCAGAAAACACAACTTCCTGCTCTGCGGTTGTAGATAGTATTGAATTGTTATCTCAGCAGTTTTTTAATGTATGTCCAGTGTTACTGTACAAATAAATTGATTCCCAACTATTTTTTTAATGCTTAAAGCCATTTTGCGTGTGGTTTCTGCTGACTTGGTGCTTTCTGTTGCAGCTGTTCTGAAGGGCTTTTGTGTCTGGATGAGAGATATTGATGCTGATACTCTGCAGCTTTAGCTCTTCAACTTTATATCTGTTCTGGTTTTTTTTTAACGTTGCTCTGTATGTGTAAGTCCTCATTTACATCTGAAAAAAGGCTGCAACATGCTGAGTTGGCGTTTCTTTTATAGTTTTTTTTTTTACAATCAAATATCTTTTGCATATGCTATTTTAACCATTATCAAAATGTTCAACTCGCTCAGGGGTGTTATGACTTTAAGTTTTTCTAACTTTGGTGATTTTTAACAATTTATCTTTAATTTAAATAAAGTCCTCCTACAAATCAGAGATGTCTTCAATTCATTTTAACAGATGGTCTTTTTCACAACTGCTTCAGTGAACTTGTTCTATTTTTGTTTACTTGTGCTATTTTGAGGGCAGCACGGTGGCGCAACTGGTAGAGCTGCTGCCTCTCAGTGAGCAGGTCCTTGGTTCAAACCCCGGTCCAGGGGCCTTTCTGGGTGGAGTTTGCATGTTGTCTCCGTGCATGCGTGGGTTTTCTCCGGGTACTCCGGTTTCCTCCCACAGTCCAAAAACATGCATGTTAGGCTGATTGGTAACTCTAAATTGTCCCTAGGTGTGAGTGAGAGAGTGAATGGTTGTTTGTCTCGTTTGTCTCTATGTGGCCCTGTGATGGACTTGCGACCCGTCCAGGGTGTACCCCGCCCCTCGCACAGTGATTGCTGGACATGGGCACCAGCGACCCCCGTGACCCAAAATGGAATAAGCGGGTAAAGAAAATGGATGGATGGATGGATGTGCTATTTTGATCTTTTCAATACCATTTTGGTACTTTTAGCTTTCAGCTTGTATTAACTACTGTTCTGATCCAATTAAGTTCTAGCTACAGTTTTGCTAATTTTAGCTACTGTTTTCCTTTTTTTGCATTAGCATCTATTTTGCTACTTTTAGTGAATATTTTGTTAATTTTAGCCTCTATTTGGCAATTGTTTTGCATTAATTGCACAAATTTTATCTTTATTTGAAAAAAGCAGAAATTTGCCAAAAATTGCTGAAAAGTAGCTAAAATGTAGAACACAGCTTAAATTACCAGAAAGAAGTGGAAAAAGCGCATTGTTGCTGATTTAGGCTAAAAAAAAGTTGTTATGCATGCAAATAATGTGGAATGAGCTGAACACAGCTAAACAGTAGCTGAAAAAGCAGAAAGAGCTGAAACTTGCAGAAATAAGCTGAAAGGAGAATAATTCAACCTTTATTTAGAGAGGTTAATCCCATTGAGCCTGGAGGACTCATTTACAAGAGAGACCTGATTTCAACAAAGAATGATGACAACAATGAACAATCATAAAAGAGGCATACAGATTTTTTTTTAATACAAATTAAAATAAGATGGCAAAAAATAGCTAGATTATAAGGCAAATGTAGAAAACTAAAAACAGAAACATGTCTGCATTGGTCCTTGCCAGGAGTCCAACAGACGTTTAAAGCCACTTAGAGAGGTCAAGGTCGAGAGCTTGTAATCTTTTTGCAAGATATTCCAGGAAACAGGAGCGGAGTAGGAGAAGGCCCTTTTGCCAAGTTCAGTGCTCAATGAGGGAACACTGCAGGTAATAATGTCCTGAGAGCGCACGCTGTAGCTGTACTCACGCAGAGACATGTAGGAGGAGATGTATGAAGGCAACAGACCAAGAAGTGATTTAAAGATGAAAATGTACCAGTGGGAGAGTCTGCGTGAAGTTAATGATGTCCAGTTACCCAGCGAATACAGGGTGAAGTGATGGGTACGATAATCACAGCCAGTTATGAATCTTAGTGCACCATGATAGACAGCATCCAACATCTGGAAGGTGCTTGTAGGAGCATTCATGTAAATAATGTCACCATAATTGATGGAGGGAAGGAAAGTCACAGTTACAAGATGTTTCCTAGCATTCAGAGTTAGACAGGATCTGTTTCTGAAAAAGAAACCCAGTTTAACTTTCAGTTTCCTAGGTTTTCCACCTGGAGCTTAAAAGAGAGATGCGAGTTGACCAAGATACCCAAATATATATAGGAATCAACAAACTCAATAGGGACACGATTTGAGGATAAGCAAGAACTACTGGGACCGACTTCCTGTTTGAAAAAAAGCATTCTTTGGTTTCATTGGCATTTAGGACAATTTTGAGGTGGAACAAATCTGACTGGATGATGTCAAATGCAGATTGCAAAAGCTGAAAACACTTACTGTTTTAGCTCGACAATAAACAACTGTGTCATCAGCATAGATGTGTAAGGATGCTTCAAAGATGCTCTGACCTACATTACCTATGTAGATTGTAAAGAGGGTGGGTCCTAAGACTGAGCCTTGTGGTGCACCATTGTTGACTGTTAAATAACTGGAGGAAGTAACATTATGTTGAATACATTGCCTCTGATCTGAAAGATAGTTAGAGAACCAATTTCTGAGAGCTTATGACACAAGATGTTATGGTCCACAGTGTCAAAAGCTTTGGACAGGTCTAAGAAAAGTGCAGCACAATAATCCTTAGCATCCAGTGCTTCAACAACATCATTAAGAACCTTCAGTGAAGCAGTGGTTGTGCTGTGTTGTTTCCTGAAACCAGACTGATGTGGAGGTAAGATGTTAAACGAGTCTAGGTAATTTTTTATTTGAGAGTTTATCATTGGCTAAAATGCAGAGTTTAGAGATTGGTCGATAGTTGTTCAGTGAGGTGGGGTCACCTCCCTTCAGTAAAGGAAGAACAAAGGCTGTTTTACAAGTGTCTGGAATGGAGTTTTGTCTTATGGAGAGATTGAAGATGTGGGTCACAGGGACTGTGATGATATGAACGGCCAGCCTTAAGAAATAAGGTGGACGTATATCTGGACCTGCAGATTTTTTAGGATCAAGATCTTTTAACAGTTTATTGACCTCACTGACTGAGAACGGAGAAAAAGGGAAGGTGTGATTAACCGAGGATTGACTTGTAGGAGGGATTTGATTTGTAGAAGTTTGACTTTTAGGGGAAGTGGCTGATTTTCCATTAGTAACTGTGTCAAATAAAGAACTAGAAGTGACAAAATGTTTGTTGAAACAGTTCAGGATCTCGTGCTTATTTGACACAGGAACAGAGTTAAGAAGATATCCTGATGCATGCTCAATAATCCAGGTAGAAAAATCTAAAAAAGTTAAATCTGGTCCTCTGGACATTCAAAAAAACAAAACAAAGCAAAACAACAAAAAAATGTAGAAACGTCAGACTGAGGAAGTCTCTCGGATGAGAGACGAAACGTTTCTACATTTTTTTGTTGTTTTGCTTTGTTTTGTTTTTTTGAATGTCCAGAGGACCAGATTTAACTTTTTAGAGTTAAGAAGAAGTTGTCAAGGGAGGTCAGATGATTGGGAGCTGCCAGAGAAAGATTTGATGGTTTTCCAGAATATTTTAGGGTTATTTAGATTTGTGGAGGTCTGAGATAAGAAATAGTTGTGTTTTGCTGCTTTGATGGCAGTTGTGCATTTATTCCTCAGCTGCCGAAAACTCAACCAATCAGTGTCTGAGTCAGATTTTCTCGCTGCGACCCAAAGATGGTCTCAGGTCAGCTAGCTCAGGAGTGAACCAGGGGCTGTCTCATCCATTTATTCTGAACTGATGAAAAAGTCAGTTGAACAAGTTGAAATTAGCAGAAAGAAGTTAGAAGATGCACAAAAATGTAGTTAGCAGAAAAAAATCAGAAAGGAGCACAAAACAGCTGAAAAAACTGCTGAAATTAGCTGAAAACAGTTTAAATTTGCATGAGGAATCTGAAAGAAGCTGAACCAGAACAAAATGTGAAAGGAGCAGTAAAAGGTTGTAAACAGATCTGAAGGATGGAAAATGAGCTCAATTCATTTGCTACGAGAAAAAATGGCAGAAAAGGCTAAATATTTCAAAAAGCTAAAGTTGCACCAATACCAAAAATCATAGCAGGATTGCCCTGAAAGAGCTGAACATTTTGATATGACTTGTTGAAATAGCCCAAAAATTGTGGAATGAGAAAAATGGCAAAAATCTACGGAAGAAAAATGGATCACAAAAGTAGGATTGCTTCATAAACGTTTACACAATGAAACCTCCAAAAAACCCTTAATTAAATTTGCAGCAATGTCCTCCTGTCTTTCTGACAAAGTTGTTTCTGCCGTTTCAGCTTCTCAGGATGCAGCCCATGTCTTTGACACCCTCAGGAGATGTAAGGTCAGTACAAAGGGATCAATATTACGGGTGTGACCTTACTTTGCTGTGATAGCATGTGTTGTGACATGCGATTAGAGGCGGCCATGTAGCTGAGCTTCCCAGCAGCCGTGCAAATAGCCCAAGGAGCTTCATGACTTGTGCAGTGACAGTTTAGTTCGGCAGAGGGAGTAGACGATTACAGGAAGTCTCAGCGCTGCTCCTCTCTGCAGTGGCTGCTCCCAGGCAAGTGAATATTGCTGCCTGTGCAGTCTAAGTGTGGAGAATTAAAGGGATTAAAAACACGTTCACATCCTGTTTCTGGATTTAAAACTTGGCTGTATTAGGAGGGTTTCTCTGGTTTCTGGTAAACTGCTAGAGATGTGAGGTTGTCCCTCAGGCATTTTTTAGAATATTTTCTTATCAGTTATTCAGTATTTAAACAGACCAAGCAACATTTTCTGATTGGCTAATTTGGCTCTTTTTTTTAGTTTCCAGTCCAATCATATTTACATAATTTCAACTTTTAGATTGAAACATTTCTTAAATAGCTAAGAATGAACCCACTTTACTTCCTGTATTCCTGAAACCTTCTCTGTTTAATTCAATTCAATTCAACCTTTATTTATACAAGTTAGTCTCATTGAGTCTCAAGGACTCATTTACAAGAGAGACCTGTTTTAAACAAAGAACACAGATGACAACAGTAGACAATCATAAAAAAGCATATAAAATGAAAAGTAAGTGGAAGAAATTATATATATTTTTAAAAACAAAACAAAAACAGCTACATTATAAAGTGATGTAAAGTAATGTAATTTCTAGTAAGAGAGATAATGGAACCAAAAATGATCCTGTGCAGACACAGTGAGACACATTTATTAAATAATCTGAGTGCCCTATAAAAAATGGAGAAAACATGTGCACATTAACTAAATTGAATCCTAGACCACTACTATGAATGTGCGATATGGCATAAAATTCATATCACAATATGTATTGTGGAGGGTGGCGATAACGATATATATCGCAATATGTTTTTGGTATAAAACTTAATAGGAATTTTAAAAAAGCATAGGATGTCCTTTTGCCATCATATATTTTGAATTTTAAAAAAATCCACTACTAGGTCCAGAGAGTTTTTAAATAATAAACAAATCAAGTATTAGGCTTCTTTCTTGTAGTGCATAACAGTGCAAAAGATATCAAATTTAGTTTTAGCCATATGTTTTAAACAAAAGAATATGTTGTTAACTCTTAACAGTTTCCAGTATTCTCAATTAAGAAATGAACAGCAACAGAGCAGCATTTTACACTGAAACACTTCACCTCCAACCCTCTAGGGGTGCCTCCTTCCGCTTTAATGGAGAGCTGACACAAAATGACTGTGGCTTTGACCAGAGGGTCTCGCAGTAAAATTACACAACACAGCGTTATTTTCACAGATCAGAGAACAGGTTTCTCTAAAGCTGACCAACGCTTACTTTAACTTTCGGAGGAAAAAAACAACAAAAAACTTTAGACGGAACACATCATTTTGTGCATGCGTCCGAATACGGCAACACTACGGCAAGCCGGCTGTAGTTAGCTTGTAGCTTCACTACTTAGCTCTCGAAGAAATGACTTTAACGCCACTTGCGCACAGTTTTCAACTAAAAAAAAGTAACGATTAAACTGACAACTTTGATTTTACATCAGACACAGCATTACTGCGGTTAGCCGGTAGAAGATAGATCTCTATCATAGGCTAAATTTCAATCGTTTCTACCGTATACCATATATATTGCGCATTCCTAACCACTACTAGTCACTACAAAGGGTTCATGATCATAGGTGAGTATAGAAACTCCGATTGATTGGTAGACAGAGCTTTGCCTTGCAGCTCAGCTTCTCTTCACAACAACTGATCAGTTCAGGGTACGCAGTACTGAAGGAATCTGCACAGGTCTGTCTGTCCATTTCACTTCATTCTTCTCTTACTTGTGACCAAAACTCTAAAATAGGCAGCACTTGACTCCAAACCAAAAGAGGGCAATTCATTCTTCTCTGACTGAGAACCTTAAAGCCTTAAATTCTGAATGAGCCTTAAATTTGGATGTGCAGATTACCATCTTGGGTTCAGTCCCTAGTTTGGACCTGGGGTCTTTCTGCGTGGGGTTTACATATTCTCCTTGTGTTTGCATGAGTTTTCTCTGGGTACTCTGGTTTTCTCCCACAGTCCAAAAACATGCATGTTAGGATGCCTTCAGGCCCAGGCCTCCCTTTGTAAAAGAGCCCTATGATCTCAGATCTCAGTGGCATTTTCCTGGTTAAATAAAGATTAATAATAAAATAAAAAATATCCTATATCTGTTCCACACTTGGCAGTGAACTGTTCCAGTAACAACTAGAGACAGCACGATGATGTGAAACAGACCATCATCTTCAAATAGTAGAGATGAATAGCAGTGATGCCACTGGACCCCTTCCACCCTCTGGCTGCACTGAGAAATTCTGTCCATAAAAGTGATGAACAGAATTAGTGACAACAAGCAGCCTTAGCAGAGTCCAACACCCACCTGGAAGAGATTCAACTTACTGCCAAGCATTGCAAACCAAATTGTATGTATAGAAACTGAATGGCCAGTAGTAGTGGACCTCCAATCCCATATTCACAGAGCCCCTCCCACTAGGTATCCTGTGGTCAAGTGACTTTTCCAAGACCACAATGCACATGCAGTGTGGATAGGCAAACTGCTCCCCTCAAGAACACTAGCAAGGGTAAAGAGCTGGTCCAGTGTCCCACAGCCAGGACGAAACCTGCATTGTTCATCATGAATCTGAGGTTTGACCATCAACAGAACTCTCTTCTCCAGCACCCCTGACTAAACTTTACCAGGGAGGCTGAGGAGTGTGATTCCACTGTAACTGAAACATACCCTCCAGTCCCCTTTCTTGAAAAGGGGAACCACCACTCTAGTTTACCAATGAAGTGGCACTACCCCTAATGCCCATAGTATGTTGCAAAGGCATGTCAATCAAGACAGCCCACAAACCCCAGTGCCTTGAGAAACTCAGGGCCTGCCTCAGTGTGCCAGAATCTTCTTAGTGAAGATTAGTAAATGGATAGTCTATATCTAAGACCTTACCAAACTCCTTTCCCACCTTTGCCTTTGCCTCAGCAACACCCAGGGCTGCAGCTCACTTGACCCACTGATACCCATCAGTTACTTCTGGAGTTATACCAGCTAACAAGGACTGATAAGACACCTTCCTCAGGTTGACAGCTTCCCTTACCCGGTTATATCATGGGATTTAAGGAATACTCCTAGGAGAGGCATCAACAACTTTGCAGCCACAGCTCAAAGCTGTCACCTTGACATGGAGGTGCAAAACAGGGCACATTTGAACTCAATGCCCCCACACTGCCCCTGGGGCGCAGTTTTGTCAGCGGTGGGAGATGAACATCTTTCTGATGTACAATAAAAATTACAGACCTCTTCATTCCTTGTAGGTGGAAAAACTTGCAAAATCAGCAGTGTATCAATTTTTTTTATTTTCCCAGACACATTTATGCATGTAAACTGGCCAACCTTATAATTTGAGGAAACCATGCTTTCTAGTTTTTATATTTCTAAAAAGTATAATTTCCTGAAAAGATTGGGGGTAGCCAAAGATTAATCTTTGGTGATCAAGGTTACTACCACTGGCCACCTCCTGGCTCCACCATTGCACATGGTGGTGGATAAATTTGCTCCCTCCACTCGCCAGGATCTGTCACTCTGCGCTGCCTCACACAAGCAAAAAAAAAAAAAAACCCCAACAAAAAAACAACAACTATGGTACCTCTGTTCTTCTCCACTGTGTAATTCCTCCCCACTTGAATTTTTTGCATCAAAAACATTCAGGTTTATTTGCATTCCCTGCTCAATCCAAGTCCAGAAAACCACTCATTTCAAAATCTACAAACATTTATTATTCCAATCCCACAATGATGGGGCCATACCGCTTGTTTTTCTTTCAGCTGTTACCTCTTCAGGGGTCGCAACAGCGAGTCATTCTCCTTCATCTCACTCTGTCCTCTGCATCCTCTGACCTCACTCTCAACTATCCATGTCCTCTCTAACTGCATCCATATATCTTCTCTTTATTTCCTGGCAGCTGCATTTCTAACACCCTTCTACCAAAATACCCACTGTCCCTCCTCTGGACATGTCCAAACCATCTCAGTCTGGCCTCTCTAACTTTATCTCCCAGTCCTTCAACCTGTGGTACACCTCTGATGATCTCATTAAGATTGTCCATCCTTGTGTCTTCCAACGAGAACACAAAATTTTGGCACAATCTGCCGACAGGCTTCTTTCCTTCCTGTTTTTACCTTTCTTATTACATGTGAAATTTATTTAACCCACTATGAGTTGATTTAGTCTTTTAATGTTACTATGTTCACTATGTATTTTATTTTATTTTTTGCTTTGTTCTATCTTTACTTTAAACTTGATTTATTTTTCTTGTTTTTACCATTGCCTTTGTCTTTTATACAAATATTATTGTACAGCACCTTGGTCACAATGTGCTGTTTTTAAATTGTGCTTTATAAATAAATTGACTATTTTGATGACTTTTTGAGGCAGTCAAGTCTTGTCTAATCTGAAGGACGGACACACACACACACACACACACACACACCCACACACGGACACACACACACACCTCACCACCTTGATGCTTCTGGTCAGAAGGACACACACAACGTGTGTGTGTGTGGGGGTGGGGGGGGGGGGGATTTTTTTTCCCAGCATGTTTCTTAGCATTCAAACTGCTGCTGGACAAGCTTCTTCCTACATTTTACACCTCCCAGCAGTCAGCAGCGAACTTTGGTGTCACTTGTACATATGCACATGTACTGGTGAAGATTCTCAGTCATCCAGGACATGATGAATTCAAAAAAAATATCAGAGAAATTCAGAAGGATTTTCAACAAACACAACATCCCAGTACATTTCAAACCCAGCAGGACTCTCAGACAGAGTCTGGTCCACCCT